ATGTTTAGATACTTATCATTGTGTTATGGTTGTATGCATTATTCAGTACAGTGTGCTATAGAGGTTTGTAGCCTAGGAGGACTAGCTATACCTTGTAGTCTGGGTGTGTAGTGGGCTGTACCATATAGCTTTGTGTAAGTGCACTCTGTGATATTTACACAACAATTACCTAACAGCACGTTTTTTCAGAATGTATCCTCATCTTGAAGCAACACATGACTTATGTGTACAGGTGTGTACAAACACACACACATAATTTAAGCAACTCAAGTGTTATGAGGGGAAAAAACAAGTGTGTATGGGGGGGGGGTCAGATTTAAATCCAGGTGAGAAAGTTTGAACACCTACATTAAACTTTCAGTTCTCTATGTTAATAGAATTAAGTTCCACAGCTGATATAACTGACTTCAATCTGTAAAGCCGAGCCTGCCTTGTAGGGTCTTATGAGGGTTCCTATTTGTGTGTATTCATATTTTGTCAAGCATTTGGAATAATGCCTGGCACATAGTAAGCACTTGGTGACCGTCGATGAAAGAAGTGAGACTCCAGGCTTGATCCTTATAGGCCAGGTGAGCAGGGAGGCCTCTTTTCATTCTTTGACGCCTCAGATGAGGAAACAGCTGTTGGAGGGGATTTCACACCTTTCAGAAGAAGGCCCCGTCGTTCCAGTTGACGCTCGTGGAGATAGGACTCAGTCAGTAAATGCTTCTTGAATGAAGCATTAGGTGGTTGGACCAGATCTGCCTTTCCCGTGGGAGGAAAGAGATGATTTTAGGTGTTACACAGATGTTTATCATTTTTGTAGTTAGCTAATTATTACAGTGTTGTGTTAGCAGAAAATATTAGGCAGCACCTCCGACCTCGGTATTTTTAAAAAGTGATTTAAAGACACACTAAATTGAACAGGTGGCACGTGAATGTCATGGAAACTGAAAGCATTGGTGGATTGAAAGAAAAGTGGGAAAATCTTTGAGGTCTTTCCAAATCTGAGATGTTTGATTCTTTGAGTCTGGCTTTAAATGTGAAATCAGGATATACAAATAGAAGTGATATTCTCTGGGTTTTGGGAGCAGAGACGTGTAATGGAAATGGACAGGCAGAACTGGATGCACAGTGTCATGGAGGGTGCAGAGATAACAGTGTATTAGCACTTTGGTGTCTGCTGTGGGCAGCCTTGTGTGTGTATGTATTCTCTAACAAAATTGGGAACATCTTATACATACAATTTTGCAACGGGGTTTGTTCACCTGATACTGTCACTCCGTGTTCAGTGTTCCTGCAGAGAAATCTTTGTGCCCATTCTTGATGATTTTCTTAGGATTAAGTCCTAGAAATGGGATTGTGTGGTCATTGTGTATGCATGTGTTTCAGGCCTTTTATACTTGTCATCACAGTGCCTTGCAGTATGATTGTGCCAGTTTAAGATTCCGGCAGCTTGAGTGCCCTCTTTCTTATCCCTCTCCAGAGTTCGATTAAATAATAGTTTTGTTGGACTGGGCGTGATGGCTCACGCCTGTAATCCCAGCACTTTGGGAGGCTGAGGCAGGTGGATCACGATATCAGGAGTTCGAGACCAGCCTGCCCAAGGTGATGAAACCCCATCTCTACTAAAAATATAAAAATTAGCCAGGCGTTGTGGCAGGCACCTGTAATCCCAGCTACTCGGAAGGCTGAGGCAGGAGAATCACTTGAAACTGGAAGGCGGAGGTTGCAGTGAGCTGACATCATGCCATTGCACTCCAGCCTGGGCCACAAGAGCAAAACTCTGTCTCAAAAAAAAAAAAAATGATAATAACAATTTTGTTGCCAGTTTGTTCAGCAGTTGATTCACTTACTCTCCAGCTGATGTCCTGTACATCCTGAAACTTGCTACTTGTCTCCCTTCAGAACTCTCATCGGCAACCCCCGACAGCACTCTCCTCCTCACTGCCCGACACTGGGTGGCAAATCTTTTCATCTTGGCCACTCTGATAGGCTGGACAGTGAGATCCTTCTTCCTAGGGTGCATGGAAACCCATTGCAGTCACCTGGGTTTGCAGAGTGGGAGGAGGAAAGTGTTAGGGGCACTAGGAGGTGGGAGCCGGTGGGAGTTTCTGGCTGGGTGTGTTTGTGTTATGGACCCGTGCATCTCACCACTCTCTACCACTGTGCACCACTGTGACCACGGACAGGGTGCTCTTGAGGTCAGTCCCAGATGCCCGCCAGGCCCTGCATCTTGAGCCTGCTTCTCCCTCTGGCCTCCTCTCCAGTTTCTTGCTGTCCTCCGGCCTCCCTGCCTCCTCTCTGTACTGGAGGCTCAGGTGTGTTCCCCGAGCCTTTCTGCCTGCCCTTCCTCCTGTCTGGAATGCCTTTTGGACATCTGACTCTTCCATTCTCCAGGGCTCGCCACGGCCATCCCCTTCTGAGAGAGGCCTTCCCCTGTCACCTTCATCCCCTCTATGAGTCACAGCCTTCATTCCTCATCATCTTGTAATTATCTGTCTCTCTCCTTTCTCTCCTTGTTTACTGCTGTACCCCCAGTGCCTAGCACTTGGCAGACACCCACATGTTCCTTGACTAAACTCAGTATTGAATACTGTGACGAATCCAGAGGTGAGAGGATAGAACTGCTCTTCATTGTCCAAGAGTCCAACAAGTTACGACTTCCAGAGGGAGGCAAATTGATCAGCTTTTCAGCAGAGCTGCTTAGCAGTGGGGTGGGTGCCTTCCTTGGGGAAGTAGTCAAGCAGTGACTTGTTGTTGCATTGGTTCTTGCACTGGATGTTAGGGTTGATGAGATCATTTCTAAGGTCCCTTCCAATCCTTAAAACTGTGGGATGAGTATTCTCATCTGTGGGTTGCTGGGCTATCATTCTTGTTTCCACTGCAGATGTGGCTTTTACCACTAGAGGACACTATATGATTTCTTTGAAATCAGCGTTTCCCAAACTGCCAACCACAATGAGAAAATATGTTTTTCATTGCACTTACACCCTCAACACACACTTGAAACAGAAGTAGGCTGGGCACGGTGACCCACGCCTGTAATCTCAGCACCTTCGGAGGCGGAGGTTGGAGAATCACTTGAAGCCGGGAGTAAGTGTCACGAATGTCTTAATCCTTACTATATGTAATGCATCCTATTTTTTATTTTACTTTGTTGGACATTTAAAAAAAATGCAGATTTTTTTTTTTTTTTTTTTGAGACGGAGTCTCGCTCTGTTGCCGGGGCTGGAGTGCAGTGGCCGGATATCAGCTCACTGCAAGCTCCGCCTCCCGGGTTTACGCCATTCTCCTGCCTCAGCCTCCTCAGTAGCTGGGACTACAGGCGCCCGCCACCTCGCCCGGCTAGTTTTTTGTATTTTTTTAGTAGAGACGGGGTTTCACCGTGTTCGCCAGGATGGTCTCGATCTCCTGACCTCGTGATCCGCCCGTCTCGGCCTCCCAAAGTGCTGGGATTACAGGCTTGAGCCACCGTGCCCGGCGAAAAAAATGCAGATTTACAAACAAACTGATTTTATTGTATTAATGGGTCATGACTGTTTGAAAACATTTTTTTTTTTTTTTTTTTGAGACGGAGTCTCGCTCTGTCGCCCAGGCTGGAGTGCAGTGGCGCGATCTCGGCTCACTGCAAGCTCCGCCTCCTGGGTTTACGCCATTCTCCTGCCTCAGCCTCCTGAGTAGCTGGGACTACAGGCGCCCGCCACCGCGCCCGGCTAATTTTTTGTATTTTTTTTAGTAGAGACGGGGTTTCACCGTGGTCTCGATCTCCTGACCTTGTGATCCGCCCGCCTCGGCCTCCCAAAGTGCTGGGATTACAGGCGTGAGCCACCGCGCCCGGCCTGAAAACATTTTTAAAGTATGCTGTTATAAAACTGTGTGGGTATGCTGTTTTCCTTGGACAGTCTGGGCTTGTGTAACAGATCGTGTCCATTAGTGGATATTCTGCATGTTTCTGTGGTGAGTTGCTGCATGGAACAGCTGAACGTGTGCTTCTTTTTGGGTGCCTGTGGATGAAAGAGGTTGGAGATTGTGCAGAATTCAACACTTACTGTAGTCAGGCCAGAGATGAGCCTTAGTAGTAGATTTAAAGCTATATGATCTGCTTCTAGAAGCTCGGAGACATGACACACCCAAACCCTAAATTTCACCTTACTTAGCAGGCAACAGGAAATGGGGGTATTACTCAGGGTATCACTAGGATGCTTTGGGCTGCAAGTAACAGAAGCCTGACTCACATTGGCTAAAAGGGTGAAGACACTTACTATCTCACAAAATTGTTGTTCAGAGGTAGAGCAGTCCACAGACCCAGAGCAGCTGAGCATGGCCTGTGGGATCCAGGTTCTTTTCATGACTCCTCAGTCATCCTAAAGCTGGTTCTACTCATGGTTGCAGGAAGGCTTCCTGTGCTAAACGAAGCCTTAACTCCTTGTGGTATAGACTGGGTAGAGAGAATTAAGGCTCCTGTAGCATTTTCCACATTGTTTTGTTGGTGCTTGCTGTGTTCATTTGTTCCTGGTTTCCCTATTCTGACCTCTCTAAGGGGAGTAAGAGGACGGCACCTAATACAGAGTCAGGAGAAACACTTGGGTTAATTCATGCTGTTTGTCGAGTGTTTCTGAGTCTCCCTTCCTCTGGGCACAGGCCTTTTCATTTAGTGGAATTAACTAACTGTGGCCATGAGTTTGCGGAGTGAATAAATGGCTGCACATCTTCTATATGAAGCATGAAGTGAGGTTATTTGCTATGTAGGGTCCTGGGAAGTGAATTAGCAATATGAGGAAAGGGAGTGAGAAGGCCCACTGTAGGCAATGTGATAGGTGGTGTAATGTGAACATAAAGATGAACGGATGGCTGCGTCTTCACATGTGTAACGGGGCACTAAACGTGCACTTGGCCTTTTGAGGTGGATGGTTGGTTTTTGTCGAGTTCCTTGACCTGGTTCCTGGGAACTTGGCAGTGGACCTTGGCCTGAACCTACTCCATCTCTACTCACCTGCCTCCTTTTTCCTCCCTTCCAGGTTTGCAGTAAGCATTGGCTACTGGCACGACCCTTACATCCAGCACTTTGTGAGACTGTCTAAAGAGAGGAAAGCCCCCGAAATCAACAGAGGCAAGCGACCATCTCCCTGCCCAACAGCACCTCATCAGCTGCCTGAGGTTTTAGGGGTTCATTCTTGAAGGGAGTCGTGGTCTGCTCCCTTTCCAGCTGTGCGCAAAAGTGCTTATTTCACCAGATCCTCACCAACATGATGTGTTATAAAACTTGTTTGCAGCCTTAAAAAGGAATGAGATCATTTCTTTTGCAAGGACATGGATGAAGCTGGAAGCCATCATTCTTAGCAAGCGAACAGAGGAAGAGAAAACCAAACACTGCATGTTCTTACTCATAAATGGGAGTTGAGCAGTGAGAACACATGGACACAGGGAGGGGGAACATCACACACTGGGGCCTGTCGGGGTGAGGGGCAAGGGGAGGGAGAGCATTAGGATAAATACCTAGTGCATGCGGGGCTTAAAATCTAGATGACAGGTTAATGGGTGCAGCAAACCACCATGGCATATGTATGCCTATGTAATGGACCTGCACATTCTGCACATGTATCCCGGAACTTAAACAAAACAAAACAAAACAAAACAAAAAAAAACAAAAACAAAAACACAATATCTACTTCCACTTTAAAATCATGAGAGTTTTTGAAATTTTATTAAATTTAATGAATTGGGAAAAAAAGTACTAATCTTTGTTAATCTGTCATGTGAAAAATGGTATCTTATTGCAATTTTAAAAATATTTCTCCTATTTATAGGTAACGTTGAAGATCATTTTCATATATTTGAAGCCCATTTAAATATCTTTCACTGTAAACTCCCTATCAGTAATCACTTTTTTTCCCCAATGAAAAAAATACATAAAGCTTTATTTTTCAGATGTGTATTCCTACTCTAATTGGATAAATACGGAGAAACTGCTTTATAGTACAGTTATGAGGAGGACAGTCTCTTATCAGAGTTTACATCAGACTTTTCCTCTGTTTGGTTGGTTGCCTATGGCTCATCTAGGTGTGTGGACTAATTATGTGGATTTAATTGGGTTTTTCTATAACCCAGTGTCTATAAGGAGACATTCCAAAGGCTTTTGTATATTTCAGGCTGAGCATATCTTAGTTTTCACGCCTCTTGTCTGTGTATATGAATCTTCCCTGAGGATGGAAGTTGAGGATTTCTGCCCAGTTGCACAGCTTGAGGGTTGTAAGCCTAGAGGGTCTTTTACAGCTTTGTTGACGTTCCCCACTGGTGAGAGGGAAAGTGTTGTGAGACCTGGTAATTCTCATATGAAGGAGGGCTCAGAGGTGCTGACAGCAGTAGGCCTAGGCTTAGGAGATTTGGCCCTTAAGATTCTTCAACAGGGCTGGGTGCGGTGGCTCACTCCTGTAATCCCAGCACTTTGGGAGGCCGAGGCGGGCAGGTCACGAGGTCAGGAGATGAAGATCATCCTGGCTAACACGGTGAAACCCCATCTCTACTAAAAATACAAAAAATTAGCCGGGCGTGGTGGTGGGCACCTGTAGTCCCAGCTACTCAGGAAGTTGAGGCAGAAGAATGGCATGAACCTGGAAGTGCGCCACTGCACTCCAGCCTGGGCAACAGAGCGAGACTCCATCTCAAAAAAAAAAAAAAAAAAAAAAAAGATTCTTCAACAGAGTTGGGTGTGGTGGCTCACGTCTGCAATCCTAACGCTTTGGGAGGCCAAGGCAGGTAGATCACTTGAGCTCAGGAGTTCAAGACCAGCCTGGGCAACGTGGTAAAATCCTGTCTCTACAAAAAATAAAAAAAAATTAGCCAGGTGTGGTGGCTTGTGCCTGTAGTCCCAGCTACTTGGGAGGCTGAGGTGGGAAGATCACTAGAGCTCAGGCAATCGAAGCTGCAGTGAGCTAAGATTGTACCACTGCATTCCATCCTGGGTGACAGAGCGAGACCCTATCTCAAAAAAAAAAGAGTCTTCAGTAGATTTATTTTCCTCCCCAGCTCACAATATACATAGGGTTGGCCATTTAAGTATTTATTTATTTTGAAGCTTGCACCAACAGGCAACTTGTTCCAGAACATAACTAGAATATTGTTTCAGATGCCTGCCCCTTAGAAACTCCAGAGCGTAAAGAGAAGTCTGTATCTGGACATGCATGTGCCATGTGCAACGTTTGTTTGGCAGCAGCCTGAATGTGTTAAGTCCCCAGTTGCTCTTTCCCAGACAGCAGAGTATGCAGGAAAGGTAGTCATTCAGCTCCTTTCTGGCTTAGCAGTATAAAGCCTGAGAGGGAAGAGATGGAGAATTACTTTTTGTTGCCTTATTTTAGTGTTAATGACACTATTAGGCTCTGCAAATAATTTCCACCAATGAAGTCAAAGGCTTTGAGACAGGAGCCTGCCTTATTCTCAGCCAGATTGAGAAACTGACCAAATGACCATAATTCTTGTGTGTGCAGGGAATCTTGGCCCTCAGGTTGGATCCTGTAGGTGGGTTCTATAAGAAATGCGAAGAAATTTTAAAGTGGTGGTTTCTGAAAACAAGGACATGCAATTTTATTTTGCATTCCCTCCCCTGCTTTTGAGGAAGATTTCCTAACAAATGCTGCACAGGCAAAGACCCCCACCCCATGCCCTGGCAGCACCCCTCTCTTCTACCCTGGACTTGAACCTTTAGAATGCAGCCAAATTGGAGTGCCTCCTAAATGGTGTATGGTGACGACATATTTCCCCCAATGTCCAATCCATCACGGATGATATCTCTGTAAAATACAATAGAAATGATCTAGAAAAATAAAATGAAAATGACATACAATGTACAATTCCAAATCATTTATTAGTAGATCGAACAGACTTGAAATTTCTCTGTCAAATTGTAATAAAGTTTCTAAATGCTATCAGGTTTTTTTCTTAAAATAGGCACATACTGTTAACAGCCGTGCATATACTTTGAGCAGCAGAGTTTTAGAGCACAGACAGACCTTGTGGTCTTTTCTTCTTTATTTCCCATCTCCTTTTCCCCAACCCCCCACCCGAAAACTTAACAGTGGCGCAATCTTGGGCCACTGCAACCCTCTGCCTCCTGGGTTCAAGCAATTCTTGTGGTCCATCCTCCCAAGAAGCTGGGATTACAGTTGTGCACCACCATGCCTGGCTCATTTTTGTGTTTTTAGTAGCAAGCCATTTTATTAGGCAACAATTTGCTGGTCTTCTCTGTGACCCCCATTTTACATAGAGACTAACCCATTCAGGGTGGAGGTGAAGGGAACAGGATAACAAATATAGCTTCCTTTGTGTTAACATTCATCTGCTCAGTGTCCTGACCCATAATATTATTTTTCATGTGATCTCACAATTTTCAGGTTTACCTGAGTCCAGAGTAGCTTTCAGTATAGCCATGAAAGGCACATTTCCAAGATGGACTTCAGACGTTTCAAAGTAAAACACTTATTTTTCATATATAAAAATATAGCTCGTTTTTTCAAAGGCAGTTAATTGCTTCATGAAATAGATTGTACTTACCTTGGTTCAGATGCCTTTAACAAAAACAACAACAACAAAAAAAAGAGAATTTGAAAGTTGCTATTTCTCCCATCGAGTCTGCAGATTAACCTCTGACACTGCAGAAGGGTGCATGCTTTCTGATTTGCTCTTCTGCTGGGGTGGGCTTCACAGGGATAATTTCTGTCATCTCTGTGTGATAGCTTGTTTCTGTGTCCACCCCTCAGGATATTTTGCTCGAGTCCATGGTGTCAGTCAGCTTATAAAGGCGTTTCTACGGAAGACAGAATGTCATTGTCAAATCATCAACCTTGGGGCAGGCATGGATACCACCTTCTGGAGATTAAAGGTATGTTCAAATTCCCCTCCTCCCTCTCCAAGTGTTTAGATTTCATTTTTGGAAGATTTTCACCCTTGGCCGGGCGCGGTGGCTCAAGCCTGTAATCCCAGCACTTTGGGAGGCCGAGACGGGCGGATCACAAGGTCAGGAGATCGAGACCATCCTGGCTAACCCGGTGAAACCCTGTCTCTACTAAAAAATACAAAAAATTAGCCGGGTGAGGTGGCGGGCGCCTGTAGTCCCAGCTACTCAGGAGGCTGAGGCAGGAGAATGGCGTAAACCTGGGAGGCGGAACTTGAAGTGAGCTGAGATCCGGCCACTGCACTCCAGCCTGGGTGACAGAGCGAGACTCCGTCTAAAAAAAAAAAAAAAAAAAAAATTATATATATATATATGAAAAGTTCTGCAGCAAAAGCCTGTCTCCCGCCCCTGTCCCATCTGCCTAGATGCGCCTACGACTGTCAGTCCTGTTTTATCTCACCAGGGCCCTAGAGACAGATGTTTTAGGTTGTCTCTAATTGTTGTTACAAATGGAGCTATAATAAAAACCCTTATATTTCTCTCAGTATGAGTAGAAATATGTCAGGAGGAAAAATTCCACCAGTAGAATTGCTGGAATGGAGAGCCCATGCATGCATTTATAACTTTTTTTTTTTGAGCCAGAGTCTTACCCCGTCACCCAGGGTGGAATGCAGTGGCACAATCATGGCTCATTGCAGCCTCGAACTCCTGGGCTTAAGCGATCCTCCCGTGTAGCTGGGAGCACAGGCATGCATTACCACATCTGGCTGATTTTTAAGTTTTTTTGTAGAGACAGTGGTCTCACTATGTTCCCCAGGCTGGTCCTGAACTCCTGGCCTCAAGCAGTCCTCCTGCCTCAGCCTCTCAAAGTGCTGAGATGACAGGCATTAGCCACTGCGCCCTGCCTACATTTGTAATTTTGACAGTAACTAAGATTTTGTCAGGATAATGGCATCTTGGGTAAAATTTGGAGATTTGTATGGCTAGGTGATGACAATATGTTGCAAAGCCATTTTGTAGTCTTTTTCTGATTTGGTCTCTTAACTGCTCTGTTAGAGTATGAATGCAGGTCTAATTACATTCTCACAGGGAAAGAAAACTAGAGTGTGGTCTTTAACTCCTGGGCTTAGTTATTTTATTTTATTTTTTTGAGACAGTCTTGCTCTGTTGCCCAGGCTGGAGCGCAGTGGTGCAATCTCAGCTCACTGCAGCCTCCACCTCCTGGCTTCAAGCGATTCTTCTGCCTTAGCCTCCTGAATAGCTTGGACTACAGGTGCACGCCACCATGCCTGGCTAATTTTTGTATTTTTAGTAGAGATGGGGTTTCACCGTGTTGGCTAGGCTGGTCACAATCTCCTGACCTTGTGATCTGCCCACCTTGGCCTCCCAAAGTGCTAGGATTACAGGCGTGAGCCACCATGCCTGGCCACCTGGGCTTAGTTTTTATAGCCAAACCGTTTCCCTACAAAGTCCTCACTGATTGGCCGGGCATGGTGGCTCACGCCTGTAATCCCAGCACTTTGGGAGGCTGAGGTGGGCAGATCACTTGAGGTCAGGAGTTAGAGACCAGCGTGGCCAACGTGGTGAAACCCTGTCTCTATTAAAAATACAGAAATTAGCTGGGTGAGGTGGTGGGCACCTGTAATCCCAGCTACTCGGGAGGCTGAGGCAGAAGAATTGCTTGAACCCAGGAGAACGGTGGTTGCAGTGAGTCGAGATCATGCCGCTGCACTCCAGCCTGGGTGACAGAGTGAGACTTTGTCTCTGAGAAAAAAAAAAAAAAAAAGTCCTCACTAATTGCTTTTTTTTCTTTTGTAGGTTTGTACAGATTTTGCTTGGTTCTATCAGGTCCGTCATATGACAGTAATGGGTACGTGCGTTTCTCCAGATTTTTTGCGGATGTTGACCAAGACCTGCTTATCTGTTTTGTCCCTAATCAGTTTACCTGATGTGAAGGTCTTTGGTCATCAGAGCTGTCAACCCTTCTCTTACTAAAGTGAGAAATCAGTGACCTCAACAGAGTGTAGGTATTTGTTTGCCTCTGCATTCTCTTCTCAAGATATAATCACTAACATGAAGTGTTTTTACATACGTGACCTCATGAATTAACTCGAGAACTCTGTAAGGGTGTTTTGCACAGATGAAGGAAATGGGACTGCAAGATTGTCTTCCAGGATCCTGCAGCCAGAGGCTCTGGGGCAGGGATCAAGCATTGGAATCTGCCCATTAAACTCCACATTTCTTCCTCTTTCCCCTGCACACAGCCTCTGGTTTTTCAGGAGGGTGACCTTCCCTTTTCTGTAGATCTGTTGTGTCTTTGTTTTTCTGTCATTGTTGTTTTTGAGACAGAGTCTTACTCTCTCACGCAGGCTGGAATGCCATGGTGTGATTTGGCTCACAGCAACCTCCACCTCCCGGGTTGAAGCGATTCTCCTGTCTTAGCCTCCCTAGTAGTTGGGATTACAGGCATTCACCACCACGCAGGGCTAATTTTGGTATTTTTAGTAGAGCTAGCATTTCACTGTGTTGGCCAGGCTGGTCTCAAACTCCTGGCCTCAAGTGATCCACCTACCTTAGCCTCCCAAAGTGCTGAGATTACAGGTATGAGCCACTACGCCAGGCGGACGTGTTGTGTTTTTGTATTGAGTTGTCCCATGGTGTGGTGTGAGGAGCCAGAGCACAGTACAGTGTGAGAGAATGTGCTATGTCAGTGTTAACAGAGGCCGCTGGAGAGATCCTGCCATTGGACCTGAGACCCCTTTGATTTGTTTCGCAGTTTGTTTTTTTTTTCTCCTGTCTTGTAGATGGATTAATAACTAATAAATCTGAGCCTCTTATTTCTGAGCAAAGTACCCTGAGGCTTATGTACCCCTCCTAAGAAAAAGGCAGTCAGTCAGTAATGAGGAAGGAAGACTGTATAGTGTCTGAAAGTTCTTTGTGGAAATGTTTTGGTTTTGATTGGTAGTTATATTGGGCTGAAGGCCTTTTTTTTGGTCTGAAGTTTCTTGTAAAATATAAATATATATATACATATATATATGTGTATATATATATTACATTTGTTCGCTTTTTTAGAACAGGTGTTACAAACTGTAGCCCAGGGCCAAATCTGGCCCACAGCCTGTTTTTGTAAATAAACTTTTATTGGAAGACAGCCACTCCCATTTGTTTGCATATTGTGCTTCAGCAGCCATATGACAATTATAACAGCAGAGTTGCATAGTTACAACGGAGACCATCTGGCCTGCAAAGGCTAAAATATTTACTTTCTCGCTCTTTACAGAAGCAGTTTGCCAATCTCTGTTTTAGAGGTATGTGCGTGTCTCTAAAAGCGTAGCAAAAACATTGTCTGTGGGTCTTAGTGTCTTATGCTGCACCTTCCAGCCGGAATGGTTCCTAGGTTGCACCAGCAGAAGTTTAGCTGTGAGTCATGGGTGTGAGCTTGTTCTGTAAAATCTCAGGAGCCCAAGACTGTACAGTTAAAGACTCCCATCTGCTGGCAGTGAGCAGGAACAGGACAAAGAACAGTCTTGTCACAAAAAAGGAATAAAGGGGCCAGATGCAGTTGGTCACGCCTGTAATCCCAGTACTTTGAGATGCCAAGGTGGGTGAATTGCTTGAGCTCAGGAGTTTTGAGACCAGCCTGGGCATCATGGCAAAACCCCATCTCTACAAAAAATTTAAAAAATTGGCCAGGCATGGTGGTGCACACCTGTGGTCCCAGCTACTTGGGAGGCGGAGGTGGGAGGATTACCTGAGTCCCAGAGGTTGAGACTGCAGTGAGCCGAGATTGCGCCACTGGACTCCAACCTGGGCATCCAAGCGAGACCTTGTCTCAAAAAAAAAAAAGGAATACTGGGTGAGTGAAACACTTGAAGGGGTCTCTATTTCTTGGTGTCTCCGGAATTCTGTTTCCATAGAACCAAAGGATTCGTACAACCTATTTCTCTCCATCTCCCTGTGGAGGGAAGCAGGGTCAATTTTGGCAGTCTGTGAGGTGGTCAGCCATGTTGAGTCCTCTTTGGGTGCCCCATTCCTCCTGCCCTGTGGCAGCTGTTCCCAGTCTCGGTGTCTTCCATTCCTGTCAGTTGCATGCAGGCTATTTGGGGTGAAATGTCAAAAGGGCCATCAAGAATCACAGAATAAGAAGTTGAAGCATCACTTGTCACACACAGTCATTTTGCCCCCTTCTCAAGAAACAGGATCTTTTTTTTTTTTTTTTATAAGTTCTGGGGTACATGTGCAGAACGTGCATGTTTGTTACATAGGTACGCACATGCCATGGTGGTTTGCTGCATCCGTCAACCCGTCAGAGTCTCACTCTGTTTCCCAGGCTGGAGTGCAGTGGTGTGATCTCCGCTCACTGCAACCTCTGCCTCCAAGGTTCAAGCGATTCTCCTGCCTCAGCCTCCCGAATAACTGGGGTTACAGATGCACACCACCGTGCCTGGCTATTTTGTAGAGATGGGGTTTTACCCTGTTGGCCAGACTGGTCTTGAACTCCTGGCCTCAAGTGATCCACCAGCCTCAGCCTCCTAAAGTGCTGGGATTACAGAATTGAGTCACCACATTGGCAGGCTGTCTTTTTTAAGAGGTCTGGGTGTGCCTTTTGTAAGCTGTCTCTGCTCTGACCTCTTATTCAGAGGTTTTACAAGGCTCGGGAGTGCTAACGCGTGGGAAAGCTCTTTAAAAAGGAAGAAGTCCCGTAAGAGCTGCGGGGCAGTATACTATCTTTCGTTCATATGCTTTTTTTTTTTTTTAGCACCAAGAAAATGTTGTTCTTGTTGTTTTCTGGAATTTTAGGTGATCCTTAACTTCCCATACCCTGTGAGCAAAAGTTCTTAAAAGGTGTTGTAGAAATTGAAATTCCTAGGGAAAGTTATTTCCATTTCCCCTCTATCCATATCCCTCAATATCCCTCAAGTAGCTTTTTTTCTTTTCTTTTTTTTTTTTTTTGAGAGACAGAGTTTTGCTCTTGTTGCCCAGGCTGGAGTGTAATGATCTCAGCTCACTGCAACCTCTGCCTCCCGGGTTCAAGCAATTCTCCTGCCTCAGCCTCCCAAGTAGCTAGGATTACAGGCACCCACCACCACGCCCAGCTAATATTTTGTATTTTTAGTAGAAATGGGGTTTCACTCTGTTGGCCAGGCTGGTTCGAACTCCTGACCTCAGGTGATCCACCCGTCTCGGCCTCCCAAAGTGCTGGGATTACGGGCGTGAGCCACCGCACCTGGCCCCCCTCAAGTATCTTGAAATAGCTTCTGCATAACCCTACTCAGCAGGCATGGACTGTACCTGTAAGTGTGATCAGCTCAGATTCAGGAGCCCAGGTGTCCTGGGATGGCTTTTGTGACAGGATCTGGCTCTGTATCCCAGGCTGGAGTGCAGTGATGCAATCTCAGCTCACTGCAGCCGCCTCCTCCCAGCCTCAAGCGATCTTCCTAACTCAGCCTTCTGAGTAGCTGGGGACTACAGGTGCAAGCCACCATGCCTGGCTAATTCGTATTTTTGGTAGAGATAGGGTATTGCTATGTTGCCCAGGCTGGTCTCGAACTCCTGGGCTCAAGCAGTCCTCCTGCCTCGGCCTCCCAAAGTGCTGGGATTACAGGTGTGAGCCACTGTACTTGTCCCTCCTTTTTTGTTTTAAAAAGATAAAGCCAGCTGGGCGCGGTGGCTCACGCCTGTAATCCCAGCACTTTGGGAGGCCGAGGTGGGTGGATCATGCGGTCAGGAGATTGAGACCATCCTGGCTAACATGGTGAAACCCTGTCTCTGCTAAAAATACAAAAAAATTAGCTGGGCATGGTGGCGGGGGCCTGTAGTACCAGCTACTCGGGAGGCTGAGGCAGGAGAATGGTGTGAACCTGGGAGGCAGCGCTTGCAGTGAGCCGAGATCGCACCACTGCACTCCAGCCTGGGCGACAGAGCAAGACTCCGTCTCAAAAAAAAAAAAAAAAAGATAAAGCCCAGGTTGGGTCCTCTGGGATTCCAGCAGAGGACTGGTGTGTATGTGGGAGGGTGCTGTATCTTTCAGCCCTGATGTTTGCTTTTAAGGGTTACTTATCTACTAGGATATGGTTGCAGGTGATTTCTGCCCCCATCATGCTGTCCACAGGAGGTCTGCTATCCCCCACTCATCCCCTGGGATTCATCTATCCTTCCATACTTGTGCTTCATCTCCTGTTACTGTCTCCATGAATGGTTCTCTTACCTGCCCGGTTGCTCCAGTCAGAAACAAGGTGTCACCCTACCTTTCCTTTTCCTCCATCCCGTCCTCTACCAGCGAAGCCATCACCAGGTTCTGGATGTCAGCAGTCATCCAGACTTTGTTTTAAAAAAGTAGTTCTGTATTTCTGGGATAAGTGGTGATGGGGAGAAGGGGAGAGGCTGGGCAGGTGGGCCAGGCTGTGGAGTACCTTGTTTCTTGCTGAGTTTTAGCAGTGTGCAGAGCTGCTGAAGGCCACCGGCAGCAGCTAGTGCAGTGCACAGCAGCGTGCAGCTTTGAGACACCAGAGGCGGACAGTCTGGGTTGGAGGTGATAGAGCTCAGGAGGAGTGGAGGGATTCCAGAGGCATCAGCAGGGCTGAGGTACTGGGTGGCTGAATGGCGAGGAGGGCACGGAGAGAACACTAGGATGATAGGATGATGTGTGCGTGACTGGGTAGGGAGGGTGTAGCTACCAAGCAAGCCAGGTGACCCAGGGCTGTGTGTGCGCGCACACGTGTGTGTGTGTGTGGTTGTGTGAGTATGTGTGTCTTTCATATTTGTTTGACTGCAGGCCACAAGAAGAAATGTTATATCCTGAGCAAGGGCCCCCATCTCTGTACTTGCGTCTGTAATAATAAAGGCACACACAGTGTGGATTTGAATGCTAGAGACCTCATTTTAGGGTGCTGCTTTCCTTTGATCCCCGCCCCACTTTCCTTCTTGCCCTGGGACCTTCTTTCCAGCACGTTGTGCAGTATTGAAAACACAATATACCTTCCCTTACTGTTATAGCTCATAGGCTCTTTGGATCCCCGTGTGATAATTTTACTAAGGTTGGGCCCTTTCCTGGGAGCCCCACATGTATTGCTTCATTAATCCTCACAACCCCATGAAGTGTTAGCATTTTCTTCACTTTTCTTTTTTTTTAATCTTTGAGATGGAGTCTCGCTCTGTCGCCCAGGCTGGAGTGCAGTAGCACAATCTCAGCTCACTGCAACCTCCACCTCCCGGGTTCAAGCGATTCTCCTGCCTCAGCCTCCCGAGTAGCTACTTTTTGTATTTTTAGTAGAGATGGGGTTTCACCCCCGTCATGTTGGCCAGGATGGTCTCGATTTCTTGACGTTGTGATCCGCTTGCCTCAGCCTCCCAAAGTGCTGGGATTACAGGCGTGAGCCACAGTGCCCAGCTTCTTCACTTTTCAAACAAGTAAATCCTGGCCCAGTGAGTTTACTGACTTTCCCAAGACCTTACAGCATATAAGTGGTGGAGCTGGTGTTTGAGCCCCTCCAGCTCCAAGAGTGCATGTTGTTTAATCTACCATCCTTCACTATCACAGAGAAAAATGTATCAGAGGCTGGGCACCTGTAATCCCAGCTACTCTGGAGGCTGAGGCAGGAGAATCACTTGAACCCGGGAGGTGGAGGTTGCAGTGAGCTGAGACTGTGTCATTGCACTCCAGCCTGGGTGACAGAGTGAGACTCTATCTCAAAAAAAGAAAAAAATATGTATCAGAAAATAATACCTTTAATATATGTGATGCTTTTGATACTAGCTGTTTTAACCTATTTCATCCAAAAATTAATGCTCGTCAAAATCTACTACATTGATTCCCTGACCCTCCTAATAGAGCTCAAGCTGACTTTTTTGTTGTTGTTACATCGTTTAAACTTTTTAATTTTTTTGTATGGGCAGGGTCTCACTGTGTTGCCCAGGCTGGCCTCAAACTCCTGGCCTCAAGCGATCCTCCTGCCTCAGCCTTCTGAAGTGTTGAGATTACAGTCGTGAGCCACTGCACCTGGCCTCAAGCTGCCTTTTGAAAATATGGAGTGTATTCTACTTCCAAAGTGCCTCTGAGCTCTCCCCACCATCCCAGCTGCCACCTCCTAGCTCAGGCTCATTCCTGGACCTTACCTTCTTATCTGGCTAACTCCTCTGGCGTCCTGACTTTTACCTTCATCTGTGCTTGCTTCCCTCAAATCGATTCATGAGTAATTTGAAAAACATGTCTGCCCATATCAGTCCCCTGATTTAAAATCCTTAAACACTGTATTGCTCTTAGGTGCCTAGTGCTTGCTATATGGAAGATGATCAGCACATGTAAGAGTAAAGAAATAAAAAGTATTGTGTGTTTTTCCCCAGGATGAAGATCTTCTCCCAAGTAAATATTTTGAGGTTGACTTTCCAATGATCGTCACAAGAAAGCTGCACAGTATCAAGTAAGTGTGGTGTGGCCAGAAGAACAAGAGCCAGCTAGAATTCAGATCTAGCTCTCAAGAGGTGGCAGATCTGAATGCCAGAGACTTTAGGGTGTTGCCTTCCGTTCACTGCCTCCCACCAACTTTCTTTTGCCCTGGCTCTCATTCCAGCATGTTGTACAGTCTGCAAAATGCAATATACATTTCCTTATTACAGATCACAGGCTCTGTGGTTCCCCATGTAATTAAAATTAACACGAGGCCAACCAGATTTCCCAGACAAGGATTTTGTTTTTGGGGCTTGTACTCAAGCACTAGGGAGACAGCGGAGGCTCAAGGACTGTGTTGTTGGCTCCCTGAAGAGGCTTGCAGGGATGTTTTTATTAGCGAAGCGTGGGAATTGACATCACGAGTAAGGTGTGCAGGCTGGGCCGGGCAAAGCACGTGAGGGGTAGGGGATGCGGGTCACTGTATCTGGTTGCGTTGGTTATCTTGATTAATGGGCCACTTGGTGGTCTGGCTGGCGGGACGAAGACTGTCAATCAGTTGTTCAGTGTTCCTTCCTGAGGTGGGACACTCCATAACCTTGGTTTCATATTTAGATTTCCTAAGGCCAGTTCCTGGAACTTTAAGTCGAAGGCATGGTTAAATATTATGAAGAAGCAACCCCATTCCATTTCTGTTCTATCTTTAGTTCCCTTGAGAGATTTCACCCTCTATTCTTAAGGAGAAAGGGCTGAAGATCTCATCTTCTGAAGCTACTTCCTGCTGAACAGGGATGTCGTCCTTGCCTCACTTCGAGGGGTGGGGAAATCTCTCACTGACTGTCCTAAAGACCTGTAGGGACTGGGGTGCTCCTGGGATGGTATGGGTTAGAATCCTTGGGCCATCATTAGCTTGACTTGGAGCGACTGAAACCTGAAAGACACAAACTTTACCAAAAGGTTAAAAACACAATACCCCTCGCGAAGGCCCGCGGCGGGTGTTGACGCGATGTGATTTCTGCCCAGTGCTCTGAATGTCAAAGTGAAGAAATTCAATGAAGCGCGGGTAAACGGCGGGAGTAACTATGACTCTCTTAAGGTAGCCAAATGCCTCGTCATCTAATTAGTGACGCGCATGAATGGATGAACGAGATTCCCACTGTCCCTACCTACTATCCAGCGAAACCACAGCCAAGGAACGGCTTGGCGGAATCAGCGGGGAAAGAAGACCCTGTTGAGCTTGACTCTAGTCTGGCACGGTGAAGAGACATGAGAGGTGTAGAATAAGTGGGAGGCCCCGGCGCCCTCCGTCCCCGCGAGGGGGCGGGGCGGGGTCCGCCGGCCTTGCGGGCCGCCGGTGAAATACCACTACTCTGATCGTTTTTTCACTGACCCGGTGAGGCGGGGGGGCGAGCCCCGAGGGGCTCTCGCTTCTGGCGCCAAGCGCCCGGCCGCGCGCACCTACAGAATGGGAGAAAATTTTTGCAATCTACTCATCTGACAAAGGGCTAATATCCAGAACCTACAAAGAACTCAAACAAATTTACAAGAAAAAAACAAACAACCCCATCAAAAAGTGGGCAAAGGACATGAACAGACATTTCTCAAAAGAAGACATTCATACAGCCAACAGACACATGAAAAAATGCTCATCATCACTGGCCATCAGAGAAATGCAAATCAAAACCACCATGAGATACCATCTCACACCAGTTAGAATGGCGATCATTAAAAAGTCAGGAAACAACAGGTGCTGGAGAGGATGTGGAGAAATAGGAACACTTTTACACTGTTGGTGGGATTGTAAACTAGTTCAACCATTATGGAAAACAGTATGGCGATTCCTCAAGGATCTAGAACTAGATGTACCATATGACCCAGCCATCCATTACTGGGTATATACCCAAAGGATTATAAATTATGCTGCTATAAAGACACATGCACACGTATGTTTATTGCAGCACTATTCACAATAGCAAAGACTTGGAATCAACCCAAATGTCCATCAGTGACAGATTGGATTAAGAAAATGTGGCACATATACACCATGGAATACTATGCAGCCATAAAAAAGGATGAGTTTGAGTCCTTTGTAGGGACTTGGATGCAGCTGGAATCCATCATTCTTAGCAAACTATCACAAGAACAGAAAACCAAACACCGCATGTTCTCACTCATAGGTGGGAACTGAACAATGAGATCACTGGGACTCAGGAAGGGGAACATCACACACCGGGGCCTATCATGGGGAGGGGGGAGGGGGAGGGATTGCATTGGGAGTTATACCTGATGTAAATGACGAGTTGATGGTCAGCACAGCAACATGCACAAGTATACATATGTACAAACCTGCACGTATGCACATGTACCTACAACTAAAGTATAATAATAATAAATAAATTTAAAAAAAAAAAAAAAAAAAGATACCTTCATAGGTGGTAAACTGTAAACAAATCTTCGTATGTAAATAAACTTCCACTTAATTTAAGAAAAAAAAAAAAAAAAAAAAAAAAAAAAAAAAAAAAAAAAAAAAACACAATACCCCAAAAGTAATAGCAATTAAATGACCACTTAGGGTCTGAAGAAAGGTAAAAACCATGTCATACTTTGTAGGTATGCACTGATGGAGTCCCAGATGATTTGAGCAGTAGAGTTACTGAGATTATGTAGCCAGGTAGCCTCTTGGTAAATCTTTACTTTTATTTTCTTTTGGAGACAGGGTCTCACTCTGTCATCCAGATAGGAGTGCAGTGGTGCCATCATGGCTCACTGCAGCCTCAACCTTATGGGCTCAGGTGATCCTCCCACCTCAGCCTCCGGAGTAGCTGGGAATAAAGGCACATGCCACCAAGACTACCTAATTTTTCTTTCTTTTTTTGTAAGTTTGTAGAGATGGGGTTTTGCCATGTTGCCCAGGCTGGTCTCAAACTCCTAGGCTCAAACGATCCACCCACCTTGGCCTCCCAAAGTGCTGGGATTACAGGCATGAGCCATTGTGCCTGGTCTTGGTAAATCTTTTGAACTTGCAGTTTAACCAATTCTGAACTGTTAATGTAAGAACAACAGATGTGGTTTATTACTGCGCATACCCGCCCTTGTTCAGCAAGAAGATAATCCAGGGCAAATCTGTTGTCTAAGGCAGCATTGGCTAGGGAGTGCAGGGAGGCTTGACGTCCTTTTATGGCTCTGCCTCTACTAGTTGCCAGTGTTTCAAGGGTTTGAAAGTTTCTCAAAGCCGCCTCACAGTGTGCAAAGCCATCCCAAGGGGCTGCTAAGGGGCAGAGCCACCCCAAGGGGCTATTCCAACTCCCGCCAAAATTAGCCCTATTGCCCTTTTAGGTTTCACATGTGTGATATTATGAACTGTTACTCCACTGGGACTTAAAGTACCTAACGTGCATTCCTCATTGTGTTGTACATTATGCACACAAGGGCACGCTAGTGCAAGTAACGGAGAGGTAAAATTGGCTGAGGGGTAGCTGTTGGTCAGATGGCAGTCTGGGTGTCCACAAAGGAACAGAATACCCCATGGGTGCACAAACTTACACAAGGCGAGAGGAGTTCAGGTGAGCAGCTAAGCTTTGGAGAGAGGTGTGACTGTTTTGGCGTGGGGGAAAAGATAGCCTTCCTGAACCCAAGTTTGATTAGGGTTTTTCTTTACTGCTAAGAGAAAACCCGGTGGGATTCCAAAGTAGGCGGTCCAGCTTCTCTTTTTTCCACCCTTTTTGGTGACCAAAGCATTTAGCAGCCCAATGAGGTTTATACATTCAAAGGAAAGGGAGATACTTAGGTCCACAATAAGAGGTACAGAGGTTATTTTAGGTTTCCATACCTCCTTTGTGAAGTTGGTAGTTGAGCTTTTAGGGAATGGAAGAGGCAGCCCCTCTGAGCCTGGGGATGATGGTAGCACACCCAGCAGTTGGACAAATTATGACCTGAAGCTATAATGCTGGAAAGGTTGTCAAGAGAGATCATTTCCCATTTCAATGGATCCAGCCTACCCTGTGCCCCGATGGGGAGGAGTAGGAACAAAGTAAGGAGTAGCATCTTTATACCCAGCAGGGACAAACGAAGTCTTTACCTGAGGGAGGAGGCTGAGCAAAGCAACAGAATAATAGTGAAACAATTAGTAATATGAGGAAAAGTATTGGACTCAAGATCTCTAACCACATTACTTCTCCGATGACGAATTGGCTCTCCTGAATTTGAGGTCTTCCACAGGTTTTCAGGAGGAAGATGGGCCTTCTGGGCGAGTCTGGAAACATTTAGGAGAAAGCATTTCTGATTGGGAGAGGTGTACCCAGCTAGTGATTCCTTGTGACTTGGCTGTGGTTGGAGTGGTCAGGGTCACCCAGTAAGGGCCCTGCCATTTAGGCAAGGGGTGGTTCTCCGGGGAGCCTGCCCTTCCAGTCTTTAGAAGGACTTGGTTCCCTGGATTAGCTTGTAAAGGGGTTTTCCCATCCTTAGTGGGGACTGGTAGGATTTTGTTTCTGTACTCTGAAATCGCTTTTTGAATCTGTCCTAAATTGATACTGTAATTTTTTTATGTAATTCTTCACGTAACAGGAGGTCAGTGGTGGGGAAAAGCCTCTGGTAGATCATCTCAGAAGAACTAAGTCTTAGTCTGCACACAGGGGCCCTGCGGACCCTAAGAAGACTGGGAGCATCTTAACCCAGGGCTCACGTGGCTCCTAACAGAGTTTGGCTGGAGTCGTCTCAAGTGTATGGTTCATCTTAACTTTCCCTGATGGTTGGGGTGCCAGTTCATTATCCTATCAAAGACTGAATGCTATCATTCAGTCTTTGCATTCTCAAGAGGCTTATCTCACAAGCCAGGCCTGCTGGAGTGTGTTCTTTGGGCCCTGTGCATTGATGCTGTGAGTCCTCATCATCTGTGGTTGGGAGTGAGGTTGCCATGTTCAAAGTCTGACATACCCTCAAAGTAATATCCAGGGTGTCTAATAAGAGAGCTTGGTGTCCCTTGACTTCTAACCCAGTCTGAACCTGGTGGGGAGATAGCTTCTGTATATTGTCCCC